ATATTCAGATGGAAAGTCTTGAGCTCATAATTCCTAGCTGCAACAGATAATTGAATGCAAGAGGGATTAACAGCTATTACCAATCTTTGGATGTTTCGGAGATGTGGTTGAGCTGCTTGATTGTGAAGAGGTGGAACTATTGGTGGTATTTGTTCATCTTGTTGACCCACTCTATTGTTTTCAGTCATTTCAAGCCGCCTTCGTACCCTGTTTTTTTTTTTGCAAGTACGCTCAATTTCAAGATCAATAGGAAATAATTCAACGTTCTTATGCCTTTTTGATCGCCTTAAGTTCATAAAAAAATAAGAAAAATAATAATGTAAATAGACAAATAAATAAAAATAAAATGATAACGAACCTAACCACAAAAATAAATTTAAAAAGAAAAAAACTTAAGAAAACAGTTTAATAAAGTGTCCCCCAGCAACGGCACCAAAATCTTGATTGCTATAATCTGCAAGCACACAGAGTCAATCACAGTATAAATTCCTAGAGTATTCCATGGTTGATCCCACGAAGAACACTACTAACTGTTATCTTGATTAATCAATTTGTTGATAAGGGAAAAAACGCAAATAAATAGAATTTATGTAATTAAAAAGAATATTTATGAATCTAAAGTAGAGAAAATTCCGATTAAGAGAAGACTAGGGATTCGGGGTTCACCTATTAGATAATTAACTAACTCTCCTAAGTATTGATTCTGATGACTATAGTGATGGTTGCATCAAATATATCCTAATACTCCGTCGAATTACTATGTTGTATTCAATTAACTATAATCATCCATCGATATCTCACCAACATTAATTAAACCCATTAAGCAACAATCAAATATCACCACAAATACCTAAAGCTATGTCTAGTTTAGGTTAATTGTATTTATCTTACGAGTTTTAGGTTCATAACTCACCTGCCAGTTCTTCTTATAAACCCTGATATTAGAATTATGCAATGGCCAGTCACACAATCCACAAATAAAATACATAAAATAAATATAATCAAGTTCAATCATTAAACTAAAATTGGAAGAATCAACACATAAAAAATAGTCAATTAATCTAATCTAGGCTAATCCAAATTCCTAATTAAAAGTTCTAGCCAAGAATCATAATTAAATGTATGGAATGTTCAAGAAACATCATTCTAAAAATTTAAACAAGAAATAAAGTAGGGATAAAGGGAGATAATTCAAGCCTAAGAATATGATAGCTGCAATCGAAACTCGGGAATCCCCTGCGATGAAGTCTCAAATTCCTCGTTGATGATCCCACGCCCAGAAGATGTTACTGCCGCTCCCAAGCTTCGTACTCTATTCTTTTCTTCGTCTTTTTTTTTTTTTTTTCTGTTCTGGCGTGACCCAAAACCTAAAACCATTTAAAAGGGTTCCTTTTCCCTTATTTTTATTTTCTTTTTTCTTTGGCTGCGCAAGAAGCCAAAACTAATTCCCATTTTCTTTCTTTATTTCTCTTGTTACGCAAATCTGTAAAGAAAACAAAAACTATATTAAGTTAAAAGCAGAACCATTATTTTAACCTAATGACAGAATTTAATTAAACCAAGTAATAAAATACTATAGTTAAAATAAAATACTATTTATATTAATAAAAATTCAACATTAGTCTAATACTTATTAAAACCAATCTAAACTAGTAACATATAAATAAATGTAATATCTATAATAAAATAAACCCTAAAACTTAATTTATTAATGCAAATCACTCACTAAAATTACTCTAAATAATGCATAAAAATTAAGCTTATCATGCCTCATCCTCCCTTTTGCTCTAGCGGGACTAGCCCGCATACCTGGGAGGTATGTGGGGAAGTCTTGCGAGTACTGTGGCAGGGCATGAAGGGCATGGCCTTGTGCCCTGCCAGTCACGCACAATACGGCGCAAGGCTTGCGGCGGGGCTTGCAAGCCCTGCAGCCTAGTCCTACGTGGTATAGGGCTCGGGCAAAATAAACTTTAGCCTTCTTGGGTTCGGTCATGGTTCGTTTTCACGAGTCAGGATGACTCGTGCGGCTCAGGACTTGATGTGTTCGGGCCAAAAATATTAAACATGACTATTTGTAAAATCATTTTCAAAATAAAGTTTAGTACATTATTTTACAAGTTGCTCAAGTGTGATTGCTAAAATGGGTTGGGTATGATTATATGGGAGTAAGCAATTATTTGATGAGTCCATTATTGATATGTGGTGATTTACGTTGTCTTGTGAAAATTATGATCGTATTTTGCCCGTATGCTACGTATTGAAATATATGAGCATACATTCTTTGCATTAGGTCATCCTTGATTTATTATTTCTCTATTTCTTTTTTTTTTTTTAAAGTACCGGCGTATATTGATATCAAAAATGTAAGTCTGTACATGGTGGCCCTAAAGTGATCACCCCTCAAAAAGCATATGTACAAACTTAGAGCCTCTCACACAGCTCTAAGCATCGGCCATTCGGCCTATCCTATTTATGGTCATTCGGCCTACACAAAAGGTCAAGAGGTGACCATTCTAAGCCAAGCTAGCCACGAAGCTAGTCATGCCATGCCAAGGCCTTAAAAGGCTCAAACTTATTAAAGAGAAGCTCTCCAAGATGTTTCTAAATGATCTCCTCCCCACCATACATTCTCAAAGCCATAGCCAAATATCAAGCTCCCCGTCCCACACCAAGGGTGGGACCGATGCTTGTCCAAGAGAATCCTTTCTACCTTAGTCTCCCTTAGGCCAAAGCCCCATTCCCACCGGCACAGCGTACTGTGTCTTATCCGAGAGAACTTAAGGGACCCGACCTAAGCAAAGACTCTCACCCCCATCCACCCTCATACCCAAGCCTCACCCCCCGTGGCATAGCGTACTATGTTTTGTCCCGGGGGGCTTTGTAGAGTCCCGATATGAGCAATGGCTCCCTCCCCTATCACCCTTAGGCCAAGGATCAACCCCCTCGGCATAGCGTACTATGTTTTGGTCCGGAGGGCTTTGAGATCCTAACCTAAGCAATGAAGCTCCAAACTCACTCCATTTAACCCCCTTTACTTTCTTCATATTCCTTTCTCTTTTTCTCATTTCTTTTTTTTTTTTTTTCAGCACCTCCCCTAAAATCATCTTTCCTTCTTCACCATATTCCTTCTTCTTTTTTATACTTTTCCAGTCTTAAAGGATTCATCTCTTCAAGCACTCCCATCTCGAGGTGTGTGCTGTACTTGGAGCTCAATCTCAACTCATCCATTCAAACACAAAACCAATGGGGAGATCAAATTTATTCACTTCAAAGAGAGCTAAACTTTTAATGAGCAAGCCCCCCAGCCCACATATTCACAACTAAAGACCCAGCTAGCTTGTCTAAATTGTGTAGACCAGTCCCCTCTCACTCTATCTTTTTCCAAAATCAGCTCCTAGTCCATCTCTTCCAGCTGCTTCCCTCCCAGCAATCCCCATCTGCCATTCCTCCAAATCAGCCCTGCTTTCCTGCAAAATAAAGCTTCATCTCTGTGACAATCCACAGATCAGCTTCAACAAAAATCTGCCCAGCAGATCAGCTAATTAAAGCATCATTTCTGCTGTCAGTACCATCACAGGCTGTCAACCCTCATAGGTTGCCCAGCTAAGCAACCAATCATTGGGTCCTCAAACAGAACAGACCTCAGCTCCCAGCCTCACTGGCCTATTCCCTTGGAATTGCTCTCATCATAACAGATGCAAGCAGCAAGCTGCAAGCAGCCAGCTGCAAGCAGCCTGCCCTTGCACCCTAGGTTGGCTCCTAAGCAGATTAGCCATAGGCTTCATTTCCACTTAGGGAATTCAAATTTTCCTCAAGCCCTTCCTTATAACCCCCTCAATCACCACTTCTCATTTTACCTCATGATTTTTCAATGATGTTCTTATTGCTTTGTTGTTGTTTTTCCTCCTCACCTCCTTATTCTCCCTCCACCATGACTAAAAGGCCAAGACACCAGTCCCCCTTTGGAACTGATGTGCTTGGGCTTTACAGAGAACACCTCAAAAACCCCCACAGAAGCAGCATCAGGCCATACCACTACCAAGGCTTCTGACACCCTAGTACCAGAAGCCACTCCAGATCTCAGGCTCTTATGGCATCCACCCCAGGGAGAAGAACAAAATGAGGAACACCCTCCAGGGCTAAGATTCTCTCCAAGCCATTAGGGAAGCCCCCCACTTTCTAGAACCAAACATGCATCCCAACACATCTCCTGGTTAAACATTTTACAAAAGCATTCACCCTTGTCCCGACTCTAGCAGATACAATCTGTCCACCTTGGTCCCAATCCATTCTAGCATCAGATTCAAAAGACATATCCCTTATCTTATTTCTGACCCCCAGCTCCAGCAGTCCTGTAACATTTCCTTAGCTATGCTATAAACATCCTCACCATTCTGAGCAGTATAGACCCCAGCTGCACAAAAACTGCCCCTAGAATTCCTTATCAGAAAACCACAGCTCTGATTCTCCATAGCCCAATTAACCTTCACCCCACCCATTCTTGGCCTACACCAATTTGATCTCTGCACAACCCTTCCACAACCAAAGCCTTCTGCCTTTCTCATTATAAATCCCAAATTTGGGGGAAAGGGGTCCCAACCTGGCCATTTTCTCTGAATACACTCAGTAAGGTCTTTTGTCACCCTGAATATCACTCTTGCCATAGAAGGCCTCCCCTGGCCATACTTACAGTGTGTATAGTTCACCCAAAGCTCCCATAAGATCAGAACAGGTAGCCTTTCTGCCATAAATTTGAACATCCTATTCTTGAAACCTAATAGCCACCATTCATAGCATACATGCCTCTCACTTCTTACCACAATTCTTGTACCCATGGCCCTTGAGAAATAGTTCCACACTTGCTGTGCTGTTTCCCCTTTCCCAAATATTTGTTGCATGTCATCACAACCAGACTGAACACAGCATGGACACTTGGAAACAGTTTGATAACCCATTTTTCTTAACACATCATCCACCGGCAATTTCTTTTTAAAACCCCTCTAGGCCAAAAAAGACATCTTCCATGATATTCCCTTAGCCCAAATCTTCTTGCACCATAGGCCAGCATTCTCACCTCCATGCTCTCTCATCAATGCCTTTGCTATCTTGAAGTTAAAGTTAGCTCTAGTTGGCTGCCATATTGGCATGTCTGGTCCCTCCCTGGTTCTAATGTTCTGAGCCAGAGTTTGATCCTGAATACCAAACTTCCTTAGATCCACAGCCCCATTTACATTGCCATCCTTCAACATCTCCCTAGATCCCCCTTTTCCCCTTCTATTTAACCATATTGCCAGTGCCCCCTTCCCTGACCAATTATCCCACCAAACATTTAAATTTCCTCTTCTTATCTCCCATTCAATCCTAGGTTCTACTCTCTCTCTTACATCCACCATCCTTCTCCAAATGTGTGAGTCCCTATAATTCCATCCCCTAACCACTGGGTGTATTCCATTACAATACTTTGCTAGCATGAACTGACTCCAAATTGATTCCCCTTTCCTAAGATTCCACCACAACTTTGCTCCAGCTGCATCAATCATCTCCTTAAATCCAGTGAACCCTACTCCCCCTTCAGCTGCTGGCCTAGCTAAAGTCTTCCAAGAACTCCAATAATGCTTCTTTTTCCCCTCTATTTTCCCCCAAAAGAAGTCAGCAATCACACTTTCAATTTGTTTCACAACTGCCTTTGGGGGTTGATTGCATAGAACATATGTGTTGGCATTGCTTGTAACACTAACTTAATTAGAACAGCTTTCCCTCCCTGTGATAGCAACCTGACCTGCCACCCCTTGCATCTGGTAGCCACTTTCTCCACCAAACCAGTAAACAGTCTCACTTTTTTCTCCCTTGGTAGACAGGACATCCCAAATAAGTGAATGGGAATTCCTTATGTTGGCACCCTGTCACCTCCTTCATTTTCTCAACAGCCTCCTGGGAGACTCTTCTGTGCATATAAAATGCACTTTTATTTTTGTTGATCAACTGCCCAGACTGGCCTTCATATTTTTCCAAGGCTTCCATCACTCCTTTAATCCCTCCATTCTTCCCTAAAGTAAACACCACCATGTCATCTGCAAATGCCAAATGTGTAACTTGGGGTCTCTGCACTGGTTGTGTGATCTTAGCTTGCTTTTGGTTTATTAACCTGGACAACAACTCAGAAGCCAAAATGAAAAGACTGGGAGACAAATGGTCTCCTTGTCTCAGCCCTCTAGAGGAATGAAAGAACCCCTTTGCCTCCCCATTCACAATCGCAGAGTACCAAATATTATTTATAGAACCATTCACCAAATCAATCCATTTTTTGCAAAAGCCCAGTTTTTCCAGAACTAGCTGAATACACCCCCCAATCCATTCTGTCATAAGCTTTATTCATGTCAAGTTTCAAAACAACATCCTCATTTGAGGTTGTCATTCCATGACAGATTTCTTGTGCTAACAGTATATAATCTATTATACTCCTTTCTTTAACAAAACAAGATTGGGTTGGGGATATTATTCTTGCTAGAACACCTGCCAGCCTCTGAACCATGATTTTGGTTATCACTTTGCTACAGAAATTACTCAGACTTATTGGTCTGAACTCATTAAAACTGGCAGGATTTGTAACTTTGGGAATAAGAACAATAGAGGTGCTAGTTATGGCCCTTGTCAGGCCTTTCCCATAAAAGAAAGAACTTACCAGATTGTGTAGATCATGTTTTATGATTTCCCAACAGATTTGATAGAAGCCACCTACCTCCAAAGCCATCAGGACCACAAGCACTGTTAGGGTTCATGCTATAAACTGTGGCCCTGATCTCCTCCAATGTAGGTTCAGCAATCAGCTTCTGGTTCTCCTCCTCAGTGACACTAACTTGCAAACATTCAAAAACTGAGTTGTCCCTATTTAGGGGCTCAGCAGTGTAAAGTTTTTGGAAAAATTCAACAGCCAAGTCAGCTATCTGACTTTGCTCCTCAACCCACTCCCCCTCATTGTTCTTGATCTTATGAATTACTTGTTTTGCCCTTCTCTCCTTAACTAGCCCATGGAAATACTTTGAGTTTCTCTCCCCTTCCACCACCCACTGTGAGTGGGACTTTTGTTGCCAAAACTTCTCTTCTATTCTAATTTACTTCTGGAGATTGGCTTGGCTCAGCTTGTACTCTACTAGCTTCTCCTCAGAAGGATCAGTCTGCATAGCACTCTCTGAATTACTCACTTTTTCCTCCAGCTCACTCAGTTTTTCAAAAATATTACCAAACACTTCCCAATTCCAGTTTTTTAGAACTCTTTTCACTTTTTTGTGTTTTGTTATAAAAGAATACATCTCATTTCCCTCCACTCTCTCCTCCCAGACTCTCTGTACAACTCCCTTAAGCTGCTCATGATCCCCCCATGCATTCAAGAATATGAAAGGCCTTTTTCCCAGTTTCACCTGGGACTGTAGATCCATGACTAAGGGGGAATGGTCTGATGTGGCCTTGGACAAATGGTGTACATAGGATTTTATTTTTTCCTCCCAACAGTCATTCACAAGCACTCTATCTAATCTTTCCCACACTGCATTGCTCCCTCTCCTACCATTCCACCAAGTAAACTCATTCCCATAAAAGGCCACCTATCTCAGAGCTGCATTATCTATGCAATTTCGAAACTCTCTACTTTTTGCCATCCTATAAGGCTGGCCTCCCTTTTTTTCCTCACACATAAGGATGCAGTTAAAGTCACCAAGGACAGACCACATTCCATCCCCTATTTCTCCCTCAGCTATAGCGTCTATTAGGTCCCATAGCTCCTGCCTTGTTGCCTTGTTACAACTAGCATAAATAAAGGATAAGTTCATGCTACCTAGAACAGGCAGAATCACCCTCACACTCACCATTTGTTGCCCTTTATCCCATGGATCAACTAGGACATCTCTATCCCAGAATATCCAGATTTTTTCTGTGCCACAACACCTATTCTCAAAGCCAATTGTTACAGCAAACTGTTCCAATTTAGACAAGTCCTTGAATGGTTCAAGTAGACACAGAATCTTAGGCTTAAACTGTCTCACCAAGTTTCTAATTCTGTGAAGGGAGCCTTGGGAAACCACTCCCCTCACATTCCAACAAATTACCTTCATTAAAAGTCAGACATGGAGGCCCCACCCCCTGGTTCTTGCAGCTTTTGATTTTTGGGCCCTGGTTTTTGCATTAATAGTCTCCCTCACTGGTTTCTTTAATGGGGAGTTGTGTGCCTCCTTCATGCTCTTATCAAAATCCATTTCTGCTTCTGGCTTTCTTGCCCTCTCCTCCATTTCAGCCTCTGTCATCTTATCATCAGCCCTCCCCTCTGTCCCTTTATCATTCTCATACATTATTTCTGTCTCCCCTTCATAACCTTTTCCATCTCCCCCCCCCCCCCCCCCTAGACTCTGATGCTCATTTCCTTTGTCAACTAATGATCCCCTTTCTACTGTCTGTTTTCCTCCCTCATTCCCATTACCACCTCCCTCACTTTCATAGCTCCTTTCCCCCCTCTCATAGATCTGAATACCAGGTCCCCTTCTCCCTCCTCTATGTCCATATGCTCCCCCTCTCCCCCCTCTACCTCCCCTCTCAAAACTAAAGTTCAAGGGTGTTTTAGCAGCCCAGGGATCCTTTTCCCAATTCTCCAGAGGATCCTGAAATCTGGTCTGTCTAAGCTCAGTCTGCCCCTGACTCCCTTTTTCTTACCCTTCTACTAAAATCTCCTTCCCCTTTCTTCCCACTTCCTTTCTATTTTGTAAGCTCTCTTTCCCTTTATTTAAGTTCTGCTCCTTATTCTGTTTAGGCCCCTTCCCAGGTTGCTTCCCATTTTTCCACTCAGATCTCAGCTGCTGCCATGTGTTTTTCTCCCTCCCCATATTTGTATTTTCCTTAGCTGCATTCCTAGCCTTAATGTTCCCCCCTTCCCCCCTCCCTTGAGACTTTTCTGCTTCAAAGATCTTGTCATACTTAGCCAATCTACAAACTTCTACAGAATGCCCTTACTTAAAACACCTTGTACAATATTGTGGGATTCATTCATATACAATTTTTTGAAAGTATCCTTCATCTTCCTCCTCAGGGTCTTCTGAGAAGCCTATAAACATCTCATGGACCAGTGGCTTCAATAAATCCATCTATACCTTCAATCTTGCATAACTTAGCCTTGTGTAGTGCAAAGTTCCATAGTCAGCAGTCAGGTATGTTCCAACTGACTTACATATTTGTTTCAGGGCAGCAATATTAAACAGGTTTGCACTCAACATTGGAAATCTAATCCAAACTGGGGCTAAGCTTGACTCCTTCTCAGTGCTAAATCCAAGTCTCCACCTAAATAATCTCATTGGAAAACCTCCCTCAACTGTTATCTGTTCTTTCAAAAGCATATTCAGGCAGTCACATTCATGTGAGAATGACAAAGTGACATGCCTAGGATCCAACCAACCTAGACTCATTGTTCCTTTCAACAGAAATTTTTTATCAAAGAATTTCCTTAAATCCTCCATAGTTGGTTTTCCCCATGAGAATTTGCCAACCAACAAATATTTCTCAATTACATTCAATTGCTTTACCTCTGATTTACCAAATCTAATAGATGGGAATCCCCTATGAGATCCCAACAACTTATCTGCTATCTCAACTTGTGCCTTAGTACTCAAAACATTCCCAGATTCACCCCCTTTTTTCCCCAGTCACTGCTGTGGCAAAATTCATGGGACCTGATACTGGTTTTCCCAAATTAGATGGCCCTGCCCCCTTTACATTCCCAGGCCAAGCATTCCCCCCTTTTGGAGGCACTGTGGGTCTATTCTCCGTTCTAGCATTAGCCTTGCCCATTGGGGCATTTTCTCGAACAAGTGGTGGGTTTGAAGTGTTACCTGTTCTCTGTTTGATAGTCTGGGGTTCAACCTCCTCTATCTTCTTCAATGTTGATGTCGAGGCTCCTTCCTTGCTAGTTATCATTGTTTCAGGTGGGATTAGGACTCCCTTGTCTTCATTTTCCAATTCTATAGGCTTCTCATTTGTTCCAGCATCCAATTTCTCCTCTGCGAGAAATCTCGGGTTCACGATTCTCTCCGAAGCCCTCTCCGATTTAATCCCAGCCATTGTTGCTTGGTGAGATGTTCTAACATAGCGAATATCCTCCTTGTGACTATCTTCCATCAACCTTGCTACCTCTAAGTCCGTAGATGCACCTACAGTCGAGATCGCCTCTCGGTCTCTATCCAGAATCGCAGTTGCGATTTTTGTCTCTGATGGATTTAGTCCCATCGAAGGAACCTCCAGTGACATTTACACTGGCGGAGGTCCCTCAGGACCTTCGCCTTGGTCTTAACTTTCCAACACCGGTCATGGATCGACGATCAGTCGCCGGAATAGTGATCGGCGGCGGTTTTTCTCCGGCGGGTCGGGTCGGGTTATATTGTTTTACTTATCTTTGTAGAATCCACAAAAGAATGACAATAAATGGTAAATGATTTCTCTATTTCCAAACCTATGATTTTCATACCAATAAATATCTATTGTTTGAAAACCTACCCTTATATAAGTATTCTCTTTTCAAATATATATATATATATATATATATATATATATATATATATATATATATATATATGCCTATTTAGCTATGGTATTGCATACATGCATGATTGCCATCTTTTGCAAAATGCAACTTATATTTTCATTGTCTATCCCTTTCCCTATTTTCAAAAGATATATCTATATCCTATTTACGATTAAGCATCAAGTATAGAACCCATTTTTAGAAATAACGTTTTAAAGTGCTACACTACTTGTATTTTCAAATGTGTGAGGAATTATATATTTTGGAGGTCCCGTTGGAGCCTTGCTCCCTCGGAAGAAATTAGAAGTTGGTCCGACCGAAAAATCCCGGACAGTGTGAAGTAGCTTGGTCGAAAAATCCTGGGCTGCTAGGGCTTAGATACTACTCGTTGGGCTTAGAATCCCAGTTAAGGGGTGTGCACACTTAAGATATGATCCTGATTCCATTATGTATATATTTTGTGGGTGAGATTGAGGTTAGGTCGGTTATGCATAACCGTGCCAGGATAGGTTCGTTCACGTATGGTGAAGTCCTACCTCCCCACCATTATGTTGATGATTCTGATATGATTGTTGATACCGTTATGATCCATGTGATTGATTTAGTTACCTCACGTAGTATTATTAATGAAAGTGTTATTTTCTTGAGTGTGAGATTATCTATATGAAATGATTTCTACTTATATCTTTAAAGGCTATATTATCTTGATAACTCCTTTACTCATGATTAGCATTGAAACACTATTATTATCTAACCCTTCAGTTTTACACACGTTGAAGATTTAAAAACAGTATTGCATCTATTTCCACTCTTATTGCTTTTTAAGTATACCTACCCTTATTTACTCATCCTCTTATGATTGCATCTTGGCATCAGTGGTGTTCAGTGGATACTTATGATCTGTCGAAGCATGAGTGCGAGTTGAATTCTATCGTTATTTTATATACTTAGTTATGTAATTGTGGCTTATATATACCTATACTTGCGTGATCCTATTTAATCCTACGTGTGTTGATATGTATAAATATCAAAACTACTATTTTCCAAACCTATATTATTTTACAGGGTTGAGTGAGTTATACTTAGCATTTTATGCTAACGGGTTACTTTTCCATGTTTTTTCGATAACCTCTTTCAGGTTTGGATTGATGCATGACGAGATCACGTTTAGAGGCTTTATTGTTTTACTTTGACTTTAGTTAGTAACCCTTTGAGACCAGTGTTATGTTGATAATGATGTGACTCTTTTAATCTTGTGGTTGTAGACTTGAATAGATATTATTGAAGTTAACCTTTTAGATTGCTTAATATAGTATAATGATTGCAAATTCCTTAGGGTTGGGGTTCAGCCTTGGAAGAATGATTGCAAATTCCTGAGGTAGTCCGTTGTTATGTTGTGGGTTGCATGATGAATACATGTTTGGGCCTGCCTAACCCTATTGTTTGATATTGATTAAGTTTTTATCTTAGTCATTTAGCCTGGTAGTCATCCGAGAATGGGTGGCTACGGCGGTAACATTCCCCATTTAGTTCTTATTTCGCTATGTAAGCTTGTAATTTATCTAGGCTCTAGTGTTAGAAAATGGGGTGTTACAGTCTTTCCCAGTCCTTCCAGGCATAGCTATTTCTCAGGCCTCCTGGAGCCAATATCTCAAGCATAGCAGGCTCTTTCCCAATCCTTCCAGGCATAGCTCTTTCTCAGGCCTCCTTCCAGGTACAGAACCACCTCCTTCCAAGCACAGCATGCTCTTTCCCATGCCTCCTTCCAAGCACAGCATGCTCTTTCCCATGCCTCCTTCCAAGCACAGAACCACACCCCATGGGTTGGGCTGGGCAGGCTTCCAGGCACAGAACCACCCTCCACAGGGCTGGGAAGGT